CTTGATTTCTTTACTTAATTATATTTTAATAACAAAGATTTAAAACTCTCAAGAACAAGTTAACCATAAAAAGTCACAAATAAAAATGAATTAAAATCTTTTCTATTGGCGCTTTTCCAGATCACTCCGCAAGTGCAATCCTTCCTCAACACACTGGTCACCCGCCCGATCATCCGGCATTGTTGCTCAATCTTCTGGACTGGGAAACAGTTTCCTCTAACAACATTTGCCTCATTAAACTTCCCAATTCTTTACTGGACCTATAAAGCGGAAACTAGAGCCAATTTGACTAATTTTCTCTGTAATTTGCTAGGAGAATCGTCAAAACTGAACGATGGAATGACTCTAATCGTTCATTTGACAAGCCATCACTTTGAGCGATATCCAGATTTTCACTATTCTATCTTTACAATCTTTGAGAGATTGAGAACTAGTGCAGAAATTGAGCGTTTTGATGGAAATTCGGAAGAACTTTGGAACGAGATCGAGGATTTGTTGCGAAGAGTAAAAGTATTTGGAGAGGTGAAGAGAAAAAAAGAAACAATGCATACGCTTTATCAACGGAGGATCTCCGCAGTCTCTTGGCTCATCTATGCATATCGACAATTGTCCTGTCATAGCTCTCAGTTGATCATTCACAATTTGACTGTTAACGTAAAAAGTAAAAGTAAAAGTAAAAAAAAAGTAAAAAAAGTAAAGTTAAGTAAAAAAAGTAAAGGTAAGTAAAAAAGAAATTAACTTTATTTACGTAGTTTTTTGAAGTTACCGCATTTTCTCTAATAGTAGTGCACCCCGGCGAGCCGAGTTGTTGACTATTTTACAGTTTCCCAGCTTTCCAGAAGCTCAACACTCTAATCCCCCACGAGATCTCATCGTCAGCTACATTTTCCGACCCCACATCGATAGGTTCTGATAAGCGGTTCTCGAGATTTCGAGTAATTTAGGCGACGCTCAGGGTGCATTACTATTAGAGAAAATATGGTAACCATTTCATATCTATTTGTTAATCGATCGTAGTTAAAACTAAATTTACTCAAAATAATCAAAATTTCTTTTCTTTTTACTTTATTTAATGATAATGTCATTTGAAACATTTTCTATATTCTGTAAGGATAGATTCATACTTTAAACTTTTTCTTATATGTTTTCTTTTTATCTGTTCTTTTTGGTAACTTTTCATTGTCGATATCTTTGTTATAACTGTGATTTGGCTTGTGTTTCTTCTTGCTTTCTTTGCTTTTCCCTTAGCTTTCAAAGAAATAAAGTACTTGTGATACTAGAAGACACTATTTACGAAAAAAGATATGATTTCTTACTTGCTGACTAACAGGAGAACCCCACCAGACCCCAAACATTGTTTGGCTGGAAACAGAGTGTTTCTGATGCACAATTTTTTGACTACCCTACGCTCGGTCAGTACGAAATGTCAAAATTTCTTGAAAGGTTGAAGACCGATAACTGGCACGTCAAAGAACAAATCAAATTCACAGTGAGGATTAAGTTATTTCTTTACAGTATTTATAATTTAAGTTCGATATGTTTGGCTAAACTTATTTGATAAAAAAACATTTAAATATCATTTGATAAAAAAACAAAAAGAATCTTGCTGCGAGTGGGGTTCGAACCCACGCGGACTTACGTCCATTGGAACTTAAGTCCAACGCCTTAGACCACTCGGCCATCACAGCATGGAGTTGCTTCGTTTTAAAGGCGGTAATATAACTCACTTTCGGGATCCTTTTTAAAAAGTTGTTTCCTGGGGTACTAAATGGCGAAAAGTGGCCTAGTAAAACTATCTAAAACCCTTGTAAAAAAAGTTACTAGGGTTGTAAAACGAAACTCCGCCCTGAATTTAAAATTTGCATTTATTTTGATGCCAATTTGGTGCCTATCAAAACTAATTGTGATGGGACACTAAAAAGCTTGAAAATACTTGCATCGTAATCATTTCCACCATAGTTCTTGAATGTTTATGCTACACTCTGCTATATATGTGTTTTTAAAAAAGTACAAAAAGCGCACGAATCTAGTAATAGTCTAGTAATTTTAAAACACAGACACGTCATATATAGCAGAGTGTAACATAAACATTCAAGAACTATGGTGGAAATGATTACGTTGCAAGTATTTTGGAGCTCTTTAATAGCATTTATCCTCAAAGACTCGATATTCAGCAGTTCAGCTGAATATCCAAAACAAATTTTTACCCAGGTTAATGCCTCTGTCTAAAAGGCAACGAAATTACGTAATGTAATTTAAAAAATTATAACGCCCATATAAAAAGGCAACTCTTTCCTCATTCTGGTTGAATTTTTTTCATTTCGTTTCTGAAAGTTTGATCTTTCTCTGGAATTATCCATACTTCCGCCAAATTGATTCAGTTGCATTACATTTTTGAGTGTCATTTGTTATCTATTTAATAATCTTGACGGTTTTCAACATCGTGTCTGAATAAACTAGGTTTTGGCATATCTAACAAAAAGCGCACGAGTCTAGTAATAGTCTAGTAATTTTAAAACACAAGCAATTCATATATAGCAGAGTGTAACATGAACATTCAAGAATTATGGTGGAAATGATTACGATGCAAGTATTTTGGAGCTTTTTAATGTCCCATCGTAATTAGTTTTGATAGGCACCAAATTGGCATCAAAATAAATGCAAATTTTAAAGTCAGAGCGGAGTTTCGTTTTACAACCCTAGTAACCTTTTTTGCAAGGGTTACAACTAGTTTTACTAGGCCGCTTTTCGCCATTTAGTACCCCAGGAAACAACTTTTTAAAAAGCGCCTCGAAAGTGAGTTATATTACCGCCTTCAAAACGAAGCAGCTCCGTGCTGTGATGGCCGAGTGGTCTAAGGCGTTGGACTTAAGTTCCAATGGACGTAAGTCCGCGTGGGTTCGAACCCCACTCGCAGCAAGATTCTTTTTGTTTTTTTATCAAATGATATTTACAATTATAAGTTTAGCCAAACATATCGAACTTTACGCTCTTAAATTATAAATACTGTAAAGAAATAACTTGAAAAAATCCTCACTGTGGATTTGAGTAGTTCTTTGAAGTTCCAGTTATCGTTCTTTTATCTGCAGAATAGAAATCATTAGTAGCAGTCAAAATTATTTAAATAATAAGAAAAGGAGCCAAAATTTTGATATAAAAAACTGCAAAGTCTTAGTCCAATTTCAATGAAATTCGTGAATTGTGAGCGGTTTCCAGCTCTCCCCGCATAATCGTCTCGAAATTTGCAAACCCAATGACTTTGAAGCAAATTTCTTCACAGATCGTGTTTAAATATTTCGCCGTCACCCCATCGATATGAAAATTTGCCACAAAAATCCGTTTTCTCAGTAAAACTCTAAGCAATTGGTCGAGATTTCCGTAATTTTTCTTGATGAAGTAGGGAGACGATCGGAAAGTGACAAATTTCATCAAATAAAGGAGATGCACAAAAATGTTGAAATTTAAAGTGAAAGCTTTTGTGCTGTTCTTGTTGAGAATCGACAACATAAATGATTTCTATAAATCGTTGCCAAAAAAAAAGCAAGTGTTCTCAATTTCGATCTCGATTTTCATCTGGCTGACCTACATGAACTGGCATAAAAAGTGGTGGGATTCGAGGAAAAGATAAGTCTCAAAGCCCGTTCAAATCTTAAACTAATGTTTATTTTCTTCGCTTTATTTCAAATCGGTAAGCTGTCAAATCTTTTCAAAAAATTGACCTTTTCAGTTTCGGCTGAATATTTTGGAGTACAATTGGGTACTCTTGAAAATGGCAAAGCTGCTTTGAAAGCTCAAGTTTTTATTGCAAATTCTACAGCAATATTGCTGAAAGACTTTCAAAATGATTACGGTAAGCAAAATTGTTGTTTAAAGCGAGCTTAAAATTTTTCGATAACGGAATCGCTTTCTATTTTGCGAACGAATTCGAGACGAAAGAGCCGAGGAATGTCCTCGAGATTGAACAAAGTCCTGGAGGGGATTATATGAAGAAAATGTGAGTGCTGTAAATTTGATAAATACAAAAAGATCCTCAAAAATGCTATTTTAACAATTCTATCCGAATAGAAAGCTCTCAAGTACATCGATTTTTTTTTCCTTCGGTTTTCCACGGTTCTCTTCAGCAGTCGCCTAATCACTAACAAATTCGCGAGAAAAAAAATGATCATCGTGGCGCCGCAAAAAGTGAACAGTTGGAAAACTTTTGGGATTGTTGATGCAAAGACAAGGGTAAGACGTTAAAAACTCTAAAATACATTTCATACATTCAAAATTGCACTTATAAACAAATATCACAGAGTTCAAAGTGACATAGGAATGTTTTTGGGCTTTCAATGTGAAAGGGATGGGCAAGATGAAGATTTGATGAAAAGGAGAGAGAGTTGGCTAATTATTAGACTGTTCAGAAAGTCTTTTCGTTTCTTTTCGTATTTCCTTTGAAAAATAACAAATTCACTAAATTAACCTATGGTTTGCTTTAAATAAAAAGTGTTTCTCTGAAAATTTGGCTATATACCAAACTTTTCGTGCTCTATCTATGCTCTATCTTTTCTATCTTGACACCAAAATAGATTCCCTTAGCTTAAAGAGCCTAAACCTTATCAACGAATTTTTGACTACCCGTCTTTAAGCTTCCAAAAAAAATGCAGGCATGAGATTTTAAACTTTATTAAAAGATTACTTTAAAATTTTAAAAGAGTTTTAAGGTTATTTTGCAAAAAAATAATTGGCCTTTCTAATGAAAAAAACCGTAGTTTAATTGATGCATTTGTTGGTTATAAACGGAAGTACGAAAATGAATAAAAAGACTTTCTGGATAGCCTAATATAAGATCTGTTGCAAAGTTATCAAAATTATCAAAGTAAAAAATAGGACCCCTATGGTTAACTAACTGATTTTGTGGTACCGGTATTAAGGAAAGGCAAATGAATAAAAGCGGATTAGTTTTTTTGATTGAGATTAGGATAAAATAGGTATCAAGCTAAATATAACATTTTTGATCACTCAAAATCCTCGAGATCCTCGTCGAGTAGCCGTTGACTTGAGGCTCGATCACGGGTGGGGCGACTCCCCAAAGAACACAGTTTTGAGGAGATTATGCCAAAGATGAGGAACCTAAATGCTATCTTTGAAAACTTTTCACCATCACTTATCATCTGATAAACGAATGAACCCAGACTTGAATCCAGAGATGGCCCAACCGGACTCTTGGACTTGGGTCAGTATGCAAAGCCAGAGTTGACCAGAGGCCAGATCCTAGCCCGGTCTGGATTTGTTACAGGCCCAAGTCTGGCTTCTGACGGACTGAGACCAGGTCTGCGCCAAAGCCAGGCCAAGACCTGGATACTGACCTCATTATTAGGAACAATTCTACCAAGTACTACTTGAAATTCTGAACCCTACTTGAATCTGGCTCTGACAAGTACATGCAAGCGACAAGTTTAAATTCTTGCTTATCTAGTCAGGTCCTGATCCGAAAATCTTTATGGGTCAATCCAGCAACAAAGTTAAGCAAGATCAAAAGATAAGATTTATGACGTGATTTGCTGGGAAAAATTGTCACTTACCAAAAGATGATGAGCATCAAAAAGACAAGCACTCCGAGAATGATCCAAGTGTGGAAACCGTCACGGAAAAACTCCATCATTCTCATTTCTTCAAAAATCTCGGAACTCGATTGTTCTAAAGTTTCTGATGACAAATTCCTTTAAAAATTGATCAAGCAACACTCCAAAGAAACACCAAAAATTTTCAAAAAAGCAAAGTTTTTAAACGAACCGTTAGTAAAAATCTTTTTGCAACTTTAACTGAAACTTTTTCTGTTTTTGGATTGAAAAGGGCAATAGTAGTTGTTTACCTTTTTCGTCCAGTGTTGAATTGATGAAGAGTTTATTAATTAAATCGAGCATCACGCCGTTTGTCCAACCGAAACCTTCCTAAAATTGTTCAATTTCAAATTTTCTTTCCCAATGAAGATCTAAATAAAATAAAAAACTTGCATAAATCTTTTGAATTTGTTTTTGTAATCAATTTTGTAAGAAGCTAAAGTCTAGGTTTAAGCTGGTTTGATTTGATTTTTGGTGGTTCAAAATGGCTTGATCCCTGGACAACCAGTATTCTAAAAAGAGTAACAACAGTATTCTTTTTATTAAATTTTAAAGTACGAACTTTTCTTTAGGCCTTAATCTTTCAATTTTATCACCTGTACATAGTACTCTCCGCCTTCTCCCCTTGTTCCATCCGAGAAACGGGCATCGTATTTCTCCCAGATTGTCGCCGTCTAAAATCCTTTTAGTTGTCACAATATTTTCTAAAATACTGTAATAAAATTGTATCATGATCTTACCGTATCCTTGAGAAAAAATAATTGATAAATTACCACATTTGCCTTTGGATTGACGAGTCCATTTTTGACGGTGATCACGAAGCGTTTGGCTAGATCCCGAGCCTGTTTCACTAGCCAGAGGTCACCTAAAAGATACTAAGTGTTAAAATTTAAAATACTATGAAATATTTATCTATACAGTACCCGAATTAAGTAAACACTCGACAAATAAGTGCACATTTGGTGCCCAAACATTCGGGAAATCCCATTGTTGAGTGGATGAGACTTTGAGGGTACTTGGCACTCCGCCTGAAAAAAAAATTAGATAAGAATTGCTAGCTAATAACATTTTTATATGCTAATTTTAATCTACAGGTGAATAAAATTTAACCTGGATATTCCAATACACGATTTTCTTTCAGATACTTTCGGAGTTTGTCGGTTCGGTTTTGGTTGTATTGCTAAAGTTCAGGGTTAACTTCAACGAGCATAAAATCGATTGTATAGATCCAATCGATTACCCGACCCGGAAAATCCCCGAGAAATTTACAGCCAAATATCTTCTTTTTGCACGATTTACAAAACAAAAAAATCCCCATGTAAATGCCCAAATTCTTGTCTTGAATTTGCTGAATTGTGATACTGTGTAATTTGACTTTTTATTAGTGAAATTGATTCTGATTTCTAAAAAGCAAACGACCTTACCGTAACCAATAACGGAAAAACGTTGCTGGGATAGAAATCATTCCTGAATTCCCGTGTCTTCAAATCCAAATCCTGCCAAATCCCCGCATCCTCGTTCCATAGAATTTCCAGGCTCTCCAGCATTTCCTCATACTCTTTTTTATAACGTTGACTATTCCTAAAAAGATGGTATAGGTCTAAGTTAGATAATTTTTATCAATCAAATCAAAACCAACTTCTCGTCTCCTAATTGTTTGTACAAATTTGACAGCACCCGAAAATTCCATCCAATGAAAGAGTTGAGGTCGACCGGGAGAATGGTGTTCGTTCGGATTGAGTACTTTGTGACTGAAATTTTTGGAAATTTTTAAAAATACAGTAACCCATAGTTGAACCCTTTACAATCCATGAATTAGACAAAGCTTTGTACCAGCGCTTAGGCTTTATAGGTAGGATTTTAAAAGTGAATCATTAATACAAGATTATACTTTTTTATTTCCTATTTTATATCCTATTTTTACAAAAACTTACAAGCTTTCGATCCATTGTGATCAAACCATCGAGAGCTGAAATCCCATCCGCTCTCACAAGCTGAAGCGGTGCTGCTCCAGATCTAAACTGGATTTGATTTTCTTTGAAGTTTCCCATTTTCCTTACCTCTTGTGGATCGTAGCTTCCATTGATACCATTCTCGACATCGACCAGAAAATTTTCGGGTCGAGGGCAATTCGTGATCACCTGAACTATTGGATTTGCCACTAGACTTAAATTTTTACGATTATCTTTAATTAGGCAATTGCATTGCATTGTCTACCTTAATATTTATATCCTTTTAAAAGTACTAGACCTATATGTAGTAACCCATCGGAATAACAAAAAGATAGGTAAACTTTGAACTGATTGTGTTCAGCTTTTAGGGCACCAAGAAATAAAAAACTCTGTATGAACTGAATACTTTTAAATCAAGTCAACTATTCAAATTATCCACTGAAAACCGTTGCAATGTTTTTTGGCGGTGAAATGAACGGCAAGGGTGTATTTTGCTTCCACCGAAGACTTTAAAACTCTGCTTGGAAGACTGAAGACACTCTTTGCAGCCAATTCTCACTGTGGCTGGTGAGCTTGGGGTTTTATCTATATTAAAAAATAGATCTTCATTTTACTCACCCGATATTGAAACATTGTCCTATTCCGTCCATTTTTATCCAATACATTCACCGTCCTATTCTTCCTCCAGAATTGCATTTCTTTCTCCACCGTCGGCATCATCGTTTGCAGAAATTCGGTGTCTTTCGTCGCATAGAAATAATCGGCTAACATTTGCACGAAAAGTGGCGGTTGGCTTCTTCGGGATAATCTGAAGACAAAATTTTAATATTCTTTTCAAATTAGCATTTAAACTAGATATATCAATGTTAATCTCTTCCAAATTAAATTTACACAACTCACTGGATATTCCCGGAGTTCGGTATGAAGCCGTGATTATCAATGATAAAGCCAAAATTCATCAACATCCCCTTGACAGTTAACGTCATATTGGAGACCAAGAGGCCTAGAGTTTTAAATTGACATTAAAATTCAAACTTAAGCACGTGTGGGTGGGTGGTTTGTTTTTTTTTTATATAAGGGGGGGGGGGGGGCGGCCCCCCCCCCGGGGGGGGCGCCCCCCCCTTTTTTTTTTTTTTTTTTTTGGGGGGGGTGTGGGGGGGGGGGGGGGGGGGGGGGGGTTGTTGTGGTTTATTTTAAGGGACCACTTCTTCCTTCCTTCTCCCCTCCCACCCAAAAAAAAAAAAATTATATTTTATGGGTGTGGGGGGGGGGGGGGGGGGGGGGGGGGGGGGGGGGGGGGGGGGGGGGGGGGTGTGGGGTGGGGGGGGGGGTGGGGGGTGGGGGGGGGGGGGGGGGGGGGGGGGGGAGGGTACCCCCCGGGGGGCGTCGGCGGTTTTTAAGATAAAATTTGAATACCTTTTATGATCCAATACGAGTCCCAGTAGAAGTAAACTTGAAAGAAGCCACCGGGGACAATGAATGGATTTGGGACGACGAGCACGGGTAGCCGGGTGGTCAAGTGTCTCATCTAAATATTAGGTTGAGCACTAAATTTTGAATCTTTCATTTCATTATCTAAATGAATGATTCTTAAACTATCAAAGACCAAACGGTTTCTTTCATTAGAAATGTTTATCGCTCACTTTTTGTCATTTAAAAAAAATTTTAGTATTTTAGAATAATCTTCGAGAACGAAAACTGCTATTTTCCAAAATATTGTAAAATGAGCACATAAAGAAAACCGCTAAACGGATTATTCTGAAATTTTGGTTGTAGGCCTAACTTTTTGTGGGCCTAATCTTTTTTATTTTGTAATCAAAATAGATTTCATTGAAAGAAACGGTCCAAATCGCATCATCGGACTTTGTCGTTTTTGAACACTCGGCTTCTGGCTAGTGAAAAACCCTCAAAACAAAGCTTCTCAAAAACTTTCAAAAGTAATTTGCAAGAGAAATGATTGGGCTATATAATGAAAAAAACTGTATTTCATTTGGTAGCTTGAGACTTATTCAATTAGAAAATGAATTTGGGTGAAAGATTTAGTACCCAACCTAATAAATGCAGTATTGTTTGGTATAGATAGGCCTATTTATGCAACATTAATTCTATTATAGATAGATCTATCTACAATAAATCGACAAATCACGATCTTGTTACAATCTTGGAACTCTTGGGATTGTGCAGTATTATCTTAAACAGACCCAAGCAAATTTGGGCCAGTCAAAGTCTAGAAGTCAAGCCAAACCCTTAGGGTAGGTCCTGGCCTAACTCTGAGCTTCAGAAGCCAAGCCAGGTCATAATTTAGTTAAAATATTACTAAGCCAATCATTAGCTTCGAGTACTCCTTTATAAAAAGCTTACATCCGGGACGAATCGTCTAGCCAGCGTTGACCATCGCGTGTGCACCAATTTAGCAAAAGTTCTAAACTTTTAGGATGAGATTTTTAGGTTTATATATCGTTTACTCTATTATATATATGTTACGCCCGTTATTCAATTCCCTTATCTATAATTCAACAATTTTCAAACAAACAAGTTAACAAGTTATACTTATTAACTCGTAAAACCATAGAATAAAAAGCAAAAGTCGTCAAATAGGTTGGACGATTCAATAGCGAACGCCAATTTTTGAACGAAATTTCAATAGCGAACGCCAATTCAATTACGGACGTAACGCATATATTATTTAAATTTGCCTACCTCATCTCCGGATCTCGAATTCTCGGCAAAAAGGTTGCATTCTCGACGTAATCGGGCAAACTTGTCAACTCCAAATATTGCTTTTTGTCAAAATTGTCGTCGCAGAATTTGGCGAAAGTTTCTTTCTTCATTGGGAATGATAATCTAAACAATTTTTGCATTTTGAAGGGTGATAGAAACTGACGCATTAAAATTGCCGAGGACTTGTTCGGGTTCGTATTTTAGCACCGGGCCCGGGCAATACTCTTGAAGACCGAAACGCCATGTTGATTCGATGATTGGGCCTAAAATTTTGATATACGAGAAAAAATTACTAGACATAAAAAATTGCAACATTGCCTAACCACATTATATCATACACAAGTACTGCACCTTTCCTAACAGTGGCCATGAAACAAAGAAATTACTAAATCTTTTAACCCAGAAACACTAATTCAAAATGATTTGCTAAAACGAGAGGAATAACAAGACGATTCGCGGCTGGGTTGGATTGACTGGCGTTTATAGAGAACAATGTTTAATTTTTAATAACTTTATCGGTGATGAAAGACACGGGTCCTAAATCCAACAAAGTGGAAAGAACCGGCCTTACAAAAACTCAAAGACTTTAACAATTTTAAAGAAACCGGAAGGAGTTTTTTTTTTTTTTTTTTTTTAATTTTTAACAATAAACAGATTTATAAGAGAGGGGAGAAAGGGAAACATACACGCGCAAAAGACACGGCGAAGCGCCGGACCGGACAACGATTCTTTGAAAGAATCGGGAGTGGGACAAATGCTACCTTTTTTCGCGTTTTAAAACTCTAAAAAGCTAATATTAACCAATTTCGAATTTCTCTTCCAAAACTTGTTTTTCTGGGTAATTTTAGGGCGTAGAATCCAGAATTTGAACATCTCAGCGCTTGAGAAATCAATTTTAAAGATAAAACGGGTAGGCAAAATTAGAGCAAATTTTCGATTTTTTCCTGTATAACTCCCTGTAATAATGTATAACTCCGTCCGTTTGCTTCCACAAGTTCTGATATGTCAAAATTTGGATTCTAAGCCCTAAAATTACCCAGAAAAACAAGTTTTATTAGTTAATATTAGCTAATATAAAAGAAATTAGTTAATATTAGCTAATATTAGCTTTTTAGAGTTTTTAAAAGGCGAACAAAGGTACGCTAATGGGTCGAGTGCAAAAAAAAAAGGTGCGCAAATGTCCCGGGTGGGCAAAAAAGGTCGCATTTGCCTCACTCCCGGCAAAACGTTGGACCGGGCAACGATCTTTAAAAGGATGAATTTTGAATGGAAAGGTGGACGAAAAGGGAGACGGCGTCTCGAGTACGGTAGCTTAGGTGTATTTTAGAATTCAGGGTTGGAAAGTTGCCAACAAACGTAGTCGAACTGCGAGAATTGGTGTTTTACTGTCCCGTCACATAATATTCTGTTTTGCTTTTGACTGTGAGCTTACCCGAGCAATAAATCCCGGCTAGAGGGCCCTCACAGATTGGAATCGTGCACGTGACATTCCACGGTTTATCGATCACTTCTTGACCCTAAAAACTTCAAATCATGATTTTGTGTTCTTGATTAAACTTCTCAAATTTGAAAAGATTTTTGATATCAAAATTTCTTTACTTACATGAAATTCCTCTCCGATATCCAAACCGAATAATCCAATATGTTTAGCTGAGTGGCATTGTTGAAGTAATGAAAGGAAAAGTAATAAGGCCGAGATTTTCATACAATTTTCTTGTAGAACGGCCTACAGGGGTCCAGTTTCTTAAAAAGTTTCAGATAAAAAAGAAAAATTTTAGATAATAAATTGAAATAAGTATAAACTTTAAAGCTTTAAGCGAAAAATTTAGCTGTTCAAAAAACAGAGAACAGAGACAGCTCTCAATAACAATTTTCGCTTCTTTTTTCTTTTTTTCTGTCTCGTTCACCTCAAAAACAAGTTAAGAGAGAGAAAAGAAAAAAAAACAGCGATAGAGAACAAAAATCTGACTACAAAATACGATAAATGAGTGCCAAATATCTTTTCTTTTTGAGTGGTTTGGTAAAGAACGATAAAGCGCAATGGTTTTTAAGTTTTTTTTAATGATTAGGCAAAAAATAACGAAGAAACATCCGTGCCGAATTCTCTGATAGTATTGCGCAATACTATTGGGTTGGTGAATTGAAAACTGCCGGACTTTGAACTAAAATTTATTGAACATAAAACCATCAATTCATTCCAAATAATTTCCATTATTATTGACGACTTCTGCCCATTTTACAGGCAATTTGCGGATTCCTCTTTCGTAGTAGGATTCTGGTTTGTGTGTGAGACAAGTGTGAGACTCAAAAATGGAGGACTGGAGATGTCTCAGTTTGAGCACTTTCTTCAAAAGAAACCCATTTTGGTGTCAATAGAAAAATTGTAGAGAATCAAAAATTAGACTTATATCCAAATTTTCAAAAAGATACACTTAGTATTTTGGCTTAAAATGCAAGTTTTGTCCAAATTGGTAAATTTCGCCTTTCTTGAAAACCAGTTTTTGAATCGTTCTGAAAATTTGGATATAAGCTTGATTTTTGATTCTCTACAACTTTTCCATTGACACCAGAATGGGTTTCTTTTGAAGAAAGTGCTTAAACTGTGACATCGGACAATAGCCCGCAGTTTTCAATTCACCAACCCAATATTTTTCAATTCGAACTAGCTTGTCACTATTAGAGCGTTACAAAAGATAAACCGTTTGCACACTGTAATTTGGTGTCATATTTCTCAACTCTTGAGTTGATCAGCTAGTAAAATTTATGCTTTATGCTCTTTTTTTCATGCCGAGAAAATTCAAGCTAAGTTATTTTTCACTTTTTCTAAAAATATTACTAAAGTGTACATGCGTGTAGTTTTTTCTTGAAGTCACTTTTTTGTTTACTTGTTGAATACTATGTTTAAGCGTTAGATTGATTTACGCGATTTTATGATGGCTTTTGACAGTTTATGGGTGTTTTTTAAGCTTTTTTCGGTTTATTTTTATAATCTATCTATCTATCTAACGTTTAAACATAGCAAGCAAATCAGCAAGTAAACCAAAAAACCTAGCGCAAATTCTAGAAAAATTGAGCGCATCTACACTTTAGTAATATTTTTTAGAAAAGTGTAAAGTAAACTGAGCATGAATTTTTTTGACATAAAGTCATGAATTTTACTATTGGGTTGGGGAGAATGAGTCGGCGCCGAAATTTAAAGAAACTTTTTGCACCCATAAAACCTTCTTTAAATACACGTTTTGTTTCATCAAAATGGTCCACTATTTCTTTACAAAATGGCTTTTGAGAGATTCCACAAAGCTTTTCTTTTTTGGGATTTTATGGATTCCCAAACACAGCTAATCAAAATGACAAAAAGTCCGACTCATTGCTTGAACAGTTTCTTCCACATAAACCTCCTTTGGTGTTTATATAAAAAAGATAGAGCACACTCAATTACATAAGTTACCAAATTTTCAGGAAGATCCCTCCAACCGTTTACTCTAGATGACAGTTTATCGATTTTGTGAAAAAATGATCCTTTGTTGAGTTGAGGCGCTGTTTGAGTTCTCTTTTAAATATTATTTTGTAGAGAATTAGTTACCCTTCTACGGATATCAAACGCATATCATTTGACAAAGTCTGCTATAAGTTTTAGAAATTTCTTTGATTTTCGGCGCCGACTCATTCTCCCCAACCCAATAGTTACTCTTTAATTAAACTCATTACTATTAGGGAGGTAAATCTTCTCTAATAAAATGTGAAAATTCAAACAATGATAGTATTCAAATAAGTAAAAGATCGATTTTCATATGAAATTTCCGGTATCTGAGGAATGATTCGTATAAAAAAAACTGTTTTATCTAAATTATTGAGAATCTTGATTGCATAGCCTAAATATTGCTTACTATTGCTTAAAAAAGTTCAATTTATTTACCTTTCAATTTAGAAATAGAAATTAGTTCCTATTTGGTTCCTACCTCTTTTCTTGTAGTTCCTATTTAGTTCCTATCTAGTTCCTATTTAGTTCCTATTTAGTATTTAGTTCCTAGAACAAAACTGATAGTAAAGTCTGTAAATCATTTTGACGGTATATTTTGAGTGAACTGTGATAAACCGGTTGTCTATTGGTTTATTGCAAAGCCAATTTTCGGAACTTGATAAAGAATGATAAAGTCAGCTAGTAACTTTTTAGGAAAAGCTTGCCGAAGTGAAAATCAATAAGTGGTCTCCGTCGGCTTTTTGCTGTATCAAGAGAGATGACACGAATATGGTAATAGAAGAGAAATCCATTCAGTTAATATAATCAATAACAAGAAAATTTAGAAAAAATGTATTCAGTTAATCTCATAAATATAATATAATAAATAAATAATTCAGCTCAGCTCAGCTTTTAGGCGATTGAAAACGGCGAATATGGGGCATCAAGCGGGCCGATTGAAGTGTTAGATCATAAAACTTTACGACTGAATAATTTCTCGTTGGACGGATCAAAACCACCTGGTCAGATTTGTTTAAAGGGAGGGCCGAATGACCATAAAAGAATTTTTAAGGCAACCACCTATTTTTCTATTTTAATATTGTTAATTTTAGTATAAAAAGAATAAGAATCACCCAGATAGAGTGATTTGATGGGTTTAAAAAGTTTTGAAGACGTTGCAAAGCTTGGAGAAAAGCAAGATCGTCACCCATCAAGCATCAGGCACGAATGATTGATGTCATGTTCGATCCATTTGTTTTCCATTCAATCTTTCTTACTTGTCTTGTTTTTTGACCAAAGTTTTCCAAAATCTGGGCATCTTTGTAATAGTTTTCTCCAATTGAGCGAATTCAACAATAGAAAATGCTGCCTTTTCGATTAGCTCTTCTTCCGCTTCTATTTTGTTTAGAAATCCTAAAAATATATTTTATGATAAGGAAAAAACCCAAAAATATAGATGAGAAGTCTAAAGAAAACAAAAAGAAAATATCGTGCGTGATTTTTGCTTTACTTTCGCATTTATCGTAGATGAACTATGCGAGCCTTGCTTTTTTTATTCTCCGAATAAAAGCCTCGGATGGACAGCGCAAAAATTTATAAATCCATCAAATCACTCTAGCTGAGTGGTTTTTATTCTTTTTACAATAAAATCAGCCGCTTTCCGAAAATTTGCATTAATTTCCATGGTGAAATTAGGTGTATCGCACAACGGCGCGAAAAAATTTTCTGGTCAAAATTCAAGTTTAACATACCATTCCACGTAAAAAATTGCGCTGATTCCGAATCTGAAACTTTTTTAAAAATCGGTTCGACAGTTTTTCTTAAAAATGAGATTTACCCAAAAATCCCATTATGAGTTTTCTAAAAAGCACTCGAAAACACGTATTTCAGGATGGATCAAAAATCCCCGGCGAATTTTTAAAGATATTTTCTTTCTGGTCATTTTAAGACCAAAAACGTCAAAAACCATTGATTTTGAGGTCAGATAAATCGTTTTGAAAATCGCAATGGATAACCTACCGTAACCCGCGCACAATAGCTAAAGGTCGAATTCTAAAATGCAACGACAAAATTTGCGTTTGAATTTTTAAACTTTGTTTCTTTTTTCATTGACACTATTTCTTTGCATTTTCGTCGTTTCTGATCCAAACAACAAAAGTTAAGTTTTAAAGCTATTACCTGAACAGAGCGCTTTCTTTGCAGAATTTTTTGTGGCGGATGGGGAAGTGACATAAAGCGAGCCAATAAAAGAAGATCTAGCAGATTTGGTTGGTCTTTCGTTTTTGAGTTAGATCTAAAACAAATAACAAATAGACTTTAGCAAGAAGTACAAAATTGAAAGATCAAATAATCAAATGCAAAATTAAACATCTAAGTAACCAGAATCAAAAAGAATAACGTTCACAGCATACTTTCGAGCAGCGAAAGTAAAATTTCGTTTTCATTACTTCGTTTAATTCTTCGGCATAACTGCTCATACATTGAATGTAAGCTTTCAAGCCCTTCTTCAGACATTGAGCCCAGACATCTATTTTGTTTCAAAAAGAGCGGTACGTGCTTCAGCGCAACGTGAACTTTCACTGATTTTCCTCCGATAGCTGCCTTTTTAAGCTTTTCTAAAACCTCGTTAGTTGCCTCAGTGATGTTTTCGATTTCATTGTCATCCATGTTTTTTTCGTTGATCCGATACGCCAGCAAGTTTTGCAAATGCATCTAGACAATCTAAGAGTAGAATGTATCGCGGAGAACTGATTAATGCTTTAAACTCATTAGTGGATAGATAAAATTTCTTCAATTTTGGACCGTTTAGATCATCCGCTTTGTAAGATTTAACAAATCCCAGCTTTTTGTTAACCGATAAAAATCACAATCTCAGATACCGTTCCTGAACTTCGTATCTCGGCTTCCATCTCTTTGTAAATTGCGTTTCCTATGCCAAGCTTTATATGAAGAGACGGAGGAACGCATTGGATTGGTTCTATCGGCCATACATACTTGCGAAAAACGCCAATCCTTTGTTCGGGAAACTTTTGATCAACCTTGAGACGGGCATCGAAATCCTGAATTGTTCGTTCTTGATAATTTTACGGTCAAAGCTTTCCATTAGCCCAGTTACACCCCTTTTCTTATTCACCCTGAAGTGACACCAAATGCATGGGAAAGTTGATGCGTTGAAAGACCATACAAACTCGCCAAAAAACTTAGACACCAGTAACAAATAACTTGGTCTTCATTTGTTTCAGTTC